CAAAACATTATATTGATTTACTCACCTCCAGACTAAGGACAATAGGTACCATATGACTGCCGACCCAGCCAGAATACCAATKGCTATAAAGATGGCTGTATCAAGGAAATAAATATTGTAAAATAATCACTTTTTATCAAGAAGGTTGGGGGACTGCCAGCAGGGTGGTAGTTGAGGGATGGATGGGCTTTATGACAATGTTTCCACTAAAGGAATCACCATATGTAATAGATATAATATATAGCACTAAAATGAGTTATTATTATCAGTACTGCAATACTGGAGAAGGAACTTCTTAAAACCAYCTGAAACTTCAGAAGATAATCAGAGGTATTTCAGATGTTATTGACATATTCTCCTCCAGTAGTGCTGGCACTTATTATATTGACAATAATAAGACTGATGAACACTAGTTTGATTTAAACTTTAAAAACTCAATGTCATGTATATGACTTACGTCTGTAAGTTTGGTCATAACGATTCTCCTGGAGGACTTCCAAGGCACATGTGAATTCTCTAAGTAGACCAATTTGGATATGGTATTTACCATACTCAACAAATGACCTATTTACKCTGTGGACAATTAAAAAAATGAGAATGAGCACCTTCGATCCATGTTTAAAAAATAATTGTTTTCACTATTATAAACAGTATGTCCAAAATAGTACTCAATTGGCAGTTTTAAATTTTAATGTTTAAGGCTGATCAGGCCTGAATACTGATTTCCGTTCAAACCTTTGCAATTTCAAACACCTGTAATTTCTGGTCTTTAAATGTTTGAGCATTGAAACTCACTTGTTATAATATGTTAGACTTTCAAAGTGAAGTAATGAAATATTATACGGCTCATAAACTATGGTGTTTTACAATCTCGTTAGTTCACATCACATTTCATGTGGTGTTATTTATGTAATTCTAATACCATGCATAGTTAATAGAGGGGACTAGTCCCCTCTATTAACTATGTACCATGTAACTATATACATGTATATGTGATTTATTACATATCAGGAAGAAGTCATTTATTCAAGCAACAAGTGTTGTTATTCTTGTTTGATGGATGGTTTGTAATACACCGACTTTATAATCGAGCTTTAGTGTGATTAAAGCAAGCTGTCCATATTCACCATTCATTAGAAATTTACGTTGTGTCATACCCCTACAAACCTGGGGGGGAGGGGGGGGGAGGGGGGCTACTCCCCTATATTTGCTATACGGGGACATGTCGCCAACCAGGTTATCGTTGTCAGAGATTTTACTCTGGGGTTTATTCCGGGAATTATTGATGCTGGATAAAAATCCACGGGGTAGAAATTCGGTCTACACGCAGGCTAGTGCTGGATTTTCTCTGGAACAGGTTATCGTTTTCAGCTATTTTACTCTGGAACAGGTTATCGTTTTCAGCGATTTCACTCTGGACCAGGATCAGGGTTTTGATGTCCGAACGGCACACCCCCACCCCTACAAATCATGTCAATCAAATCAATATGAAGGCAATTGTTTTTCAATTGATGTGATTTTCAGTTTGAGCGATGGTGGCTTTCCAGCTTCGTTCAAAAGTTGTAGCAGGGAAGCAAGGGTGTCCGAGCAGTGAGAGAGCCGGCCTATCACTGCTGTGGTCCTTCAGAATTCAGCACTCGGGCTTAAAGGAAGGGTTATTAGCTATCACCAATTTATTTATCACCAATTTATTTAGCAAACTCCAAACAGCATCTTCAATCTTTGATACTTTAGTTTTACTTAATTTTAAAGGGACGCTGTCAATGGATGACATGCGCAGTAACAGTCTCGCCTCTAACGGACTTTGAAAGTATTACCTTCGAGGTAAATCATTTTGTGGTGCTTTTGACACACTTTGGAATATTCTAGATCTGTTTACGTTTACGAGCTGATTTATGTCGCACCAACTTGGAGTCATAAACTTGAAAACATTAGCCTAATGTTTTCAAGTTTACTCGCGCATGCGTGCCATTGACAGTGTCCCTTTAAGTATTTTTAAATACTTAAAACGACATTTTACAATAGATCACAAAACAAGGTACTCACAAACAACTTCTGTTTTTGCTAGAAGTGAACTTCAGTTTGAATGTATGTSTAGTGTCCACTAGGATATACGTATAGTCTTTCTTGTTCAACCTGAGTGCTTGATAGTCACACTAAAGACAAAATACATGTCAAGTCCTATTCTAGTTTTATTGTATTATAAACATTGACCTAACTGAAAAAACATAATTAAAAGGGTTATTCAAAAAAGGGCTGAGGGCAGATATCAATGTCAAATCATTTGAGTATCTACCAAACTAAGGGCTATTACAAATCCAGCATTCTGATTTGATACTGGACTAATTTATATTCATGATAGGCAATGAATCTGGTAGAGTGTGACAGTGCGATCCTGCACTTTACGTCAAATCACACCAAATTGCACTATTTTCAATTTCTKGCACTTTTCATGGATTTTCGCACAAATAAAATTGCTCTGAAAGAACAAGAATACGCACTATTTTACCTTTTTGGTAAAATTAAACGATGATTGTATCCTTTATAGAGCTTAAATAGCTTGCAATCTCGAAGTAAATACGTTTCACCAAAAAAACACCCAGCCGTTCCGCATGTGGAATATTTTGACAGTGGGTATCCACTGGGTACTATAATAATTTACGAAGCGTGGATTGATCATTTTTGTTTGTATTTATCCACTTGATAAGGATTTATACGCTGGATAGCGCTATCCAAGCTTCATACAAACAAACACTGTATTATTTAAAAAAAAGAGGAAAACTTTGTAACTTAAAACAGTAGAAAGCCAAACATAAACATAACTTAACATAACTTCTTTACGCCACAAAAAAAAAAACAAAAACAAACGCCACAAAAAAAAACAAAAACAAACGAAAATATGATGTTTACTCTAAACAGGAGAATGCCATTCAAAGGAAATCAAATGTGGCATTTGAATATTTACTATTTATGGTTAAATAAAAAAAATAATTTATGCAAATTTATTATCCATAGTTCAAAAAAATTTTTGAACCATTTTAGAATAAAATCGCAATATTTATAATTTTTTCCATACTCTACCAGATTCACTGTGATAGACCATGGTTTCATGGAACAAAGCAAAATTAGTTGAAAAAATGTTGAGACAAATTGTTCTTAGTTKAAATTTGGCATATTGTTTGGTGGATACTATAGTAAAACAAGTACGCCCTCATGGAATATCAACTGATAGTCCATCTTGTTGTGTTATGATTGAAATTCGATTTCTAATAATCATTTTATTGCCAAATCATTCTAAAAGGCAATCTAAAGACCCACATTGGATTGGACTTCCTGTGTTAAAAGAGCCTGGTAAAATTGATACCTTGTAGCAATTATCAGACACTCCAAATACATTGAACGGTAAATTCTTGAGGCTAGATGTAATGTTTATGAATGCTGTATCCATTGTAAGTTTGCCATTCCAAGGTGTGTTTGGCTGGTTGTATGGCAGACCACTTCGAAACAATCCAGCATCATTGCCTTCAATCAAAAGAAAACAATTATTACACAACACAATGCATTCCACTTACAAAGATTGGAAACTGCTTAAATCACAAACTACATGTAGTATATATCGAAATAGAAAAAGTGCATGTGCATTTGGTTGCAGAAAGGTCAATTTAGAAGTTCACATCCTGTCGGATTTTAATCTACTGACGGCTAATTTTGCTGATCACATTGATTTCTAATGTTYGATGTGGTTCATTATCTCATATGTAATTAAGGTAGGAAGTATGTCAGTATTAAGTTTGTATTTTTAAGTTTTATTATCATTAAGTTTATTAAAACTGTCAGRTGTCACGCTATGAACTATAATTTCAGCTCAATTACAATTTTCAAAAGACAAATAAATCGCTTCATCAATATAACAGAGTTTTGTAATAATTTTAGAAAAGCATTCCTTCATCATGAATAATGCTATTTGTATGTACTAAAAGTTTGTAATAAAGAAAGTTCTCATCATCATACGAACTTCACGTGATCTCGCTTCACGACCAAAAACATATCACAAAATACTAAATTGCACGAGAAAAACGCAATAGTTGGAAATGTTTGCTAAAAAACAATAACAAATAGAGTTCACAGTCTCCTTACCTGGGAAATGTGCTAAAATTAGCGCTACAATAACTAAAACCACTGAAGCAGTCATCTTCAACTTTGTCATCTTCCAGGAATCATCGTTGTTGGTCTGTTGAGGTTGCGTGACAAAGCGGATGAGGAGACTGGGTATTACTAGGCTGAATAAAACAGGAAACCCAACACGACGATCTAAGATAGAACCACAGAAAACCAAACAGTTCTAGATAAAAACGTCTAGCCCTAAAAAATATATATAGAAAAAAATTTCAGTCCGTTTTGCAGCTTATTTCATTCTTTGGTATCAGCGTTTCATATTCATTTTGTGCTATTTCAGTTACTAAAAGTGCGCTTGGTGGGCTTACTGAACGGAAACACCTGTTGACACGTTACAGACAGCAAAGCTGTAGGAGCAGAATGTACATGAATCGCTATCAAACATGAATAGAAATCACATTTATCATATACCTATATTTCTCTCTTTCGAAAAGTTGCCTCATGAAATATATTTTGAAAGTATATCAGACGACAAATAAAAATTTCTCACTCGTTCACACTACGCTCACTATTGAAAGAATTTCAACACTCGAAGTGATATAATCCSTATCTCCTCGCGGACATGTAATATCTTCTACAGTATCATGCATATTATCATCTTTCTGTCGTTTTGCATAATAAAATCCTGCTCCTGCTACGTAAGCT